AGTGTCGACGAAAGAGGGGAAGACCCTCAACGAGATGGATTGACGTGGTGGCAGTGGCAGTGGGGTCAAGTATAGCAAGAATGGAGCTGGCTCAGGACCAGCCAATGTTTCGTTGTGCTGTGCATAGAGTCGTTATGAGTTAGAGATGACTTGATGGCACCTAACAACACAACAACCAATAAATCTATTTTAGTGAAACAAAGATCCCTCTAATTGCATATAATATCTCCTTTTCTTTTTGTTAAACTTAACGATTTGGGTGAAATTTTATAAAGCAGATTTGTTTTACATTCAACTGTTCATGCACATTTTGTTTTATGACAATGATTACAAATCCCCACAATGTAACAGCTCTCCACCTACTTCCTCCCTATGGTCACCCTTTCCCTGCTTTTTAAATGTAAAAGCAACTAAACTAAAATTACATTCTTCTTAGGAATCTATTTGTTTTTATTGTAAAAATAAATACATAATGCAACATTGCCAGGTCACCATTTCTCAGGTATACAATTTAGTGTAGGACTTCCATTTTGATGCAGTAAAATGAATGAAAAAGGAAATGAACTGGAAAACAAAGGAACTAACACAGGATTCAGGATGCTTGTTAGGGGGGAGTCAGGGAATGGGAGATATGATTATTGTAGGTTGTTGTCAGAGTCCTAGTTTGTGGATGCTTATTACATTATTAAGAATAATCAATGGAATAAAAGGAAACCATGTACAGATGAACAATGATAATATGTTTTGAACAAAAGGATCATGATTAATCCAGTTCTGTGCACTTGTGATCCAATGGGGGGAAAATGTTGCTAAGTAGAAACTTTAGAGCACATCTGAGTTTGGACCTTGGCTCCACAGCTGTTAATTGTGTGATCTTGGGCAAATAACTTCTGTATGCTTCTCTTGCCTACATCGTAGGATTACTTAAGGATTAAATGGGCTAATATATGTACTTGGTACAGAGTAGACTCTACGTAAATGTTTGCTATTTGTTTTAATTTTCTTGCTGTGTAACAAACAACTCAAAAATGTAGTAGGTTAAAACATTATTTCTCATAATTCTGTTGGTTAACTGGGGCTCAGTTGGATTGTTGTTCTTGGGAATCCCAGTTGGGTCTGCCTTGTATGTAGTGCAGTCGGGTGGCAGCTAAAGCTGGAATTTCCCAAAGTGTCTGGTGCTTTGGAGTGGAGTGTAGGGCTGGAAGGCTGGGCTCAGCTGGAATATCAGGGCCTCTCCCTCTTCATGTGATTCCAGTAAGGTAGCCAGCTTTCAAGGCTTCCAAAAGTAGAAAATGAAGCTTCTAAACCTAGAATTGGCCCATTATCACTTCTGCATTCTGTTGATTAAGTCACAGGTCTAGTTACAGGGCCACTTGGAGCTTATATTCTACATAATAAATAAAATATGTGTGGTGTGTCAGTTGATAATGAAGACTATGAAGAAAAATAAAGCAGGGAAGAGCATAAGGAGTACTGGGAGCCAGAGGTTGCTCTTTTAAAAGTACCCATTCTTTTAAAAGTATCATGGAAGGAAGGCTTCATGATAAACTGACATTTGAACAAAGACTAAAGGAGGAGGATAGGAACTAGAGGAGTGTGGTAGTTAGGGTTGTATGTTCAGTTGGCTGGGCCGTGATTTTGAGTGGCTTGGCAGCTGTATGTGGTTAGTCCCCATGATGAAACTTGGCAGTAATCACCTCCATGGTAGAATCTGCAGTAAGCAGCTGCTTGAACAATTTCTCTTAGAAAGATAAGCACGAGGCCGGTCCCCATGAGGTGGAGGTTAAAGATGTCCCAAATGTCCAAACTACCGTACCACTCCATCATTTCAGACATTAACTCCTCCTTCTCCTCCCAGTAATTTCCCCAGTCTTAGGGTTCTGTATTTCGCTGTAACGCCTCACAGAACTCACAGACACCCAAGGGTTCATCTCATGTCGTAGTGGTGGAGGCTGGCAGGCTGGCGAGTCCCGGGTCCGTGAGTAGGTCTGGAGGATCCTCCCAACTCTCGGAGTTTGATGAACTTCGATCAGCAGATCAGACGGCGGCTGCTGTCCCAAATCCAGGGATGAGATGAGGATGATCCAAGACACAAAGCCGGAGCAAGTGGTGGGCGAATCTTCCCAGAAGATTCATAGGTATACCCTCAGGGAAGCTAAGGGTGGTGATTTGAATTATACCCTCCAGCAAAGCAGGACTCAAGATAAATTCTACCTGTGTTGCCCCAACAGAATTAACCTAAATCCCATCACAGAGTCGATTGCCAGTCATTATAGGGAGTGACTACTACCAGCTGCCCAGCCAGGTTGATACCTGACCTTAACTACCACACCACCCCAAATAGGCATGGATAATGGGATTTACAAAACATCACAGAATGGAAGACAATGGCTAGAAGGGCCACATCAAGCAATTCACCGCAGCAGCTAATCAGTTAAAGGAGAGTTGCCTTTGGGATGTGGCTTGCTTCCAGTATATGTAGAAAGGATCCTGCATTTGGTTCAGTGTTCATCTCTAGTTCCTGGACTTGAAACAGTGGTCTGCTGTCTTGCCTGCCCATCTTGGCTTGGTTGCCTTCGTAGCCTGTGAGCCAACAGTCTGCCATTTTACCTGTCAGTGTTGGATTTGTCAGTCTCAGCAGCTGTGTGAGTCAGAAGAAGTCACCAGCTTGTTCTAGTGGGCCTGGAATAAGAGGCAGAGCTGAAGCCCAAGGTTGAGGGGCCTCTACCCAGCCCCTTGAGCTGGCACTCTGAACTCACACTTCTAGCCTCCTAAATTGTAAGAGAATACATTTTTGTTTGTTAAAGCTATCCACTTGTGCGAATATATAGCAGCACCAGAGAACTAAGACAAGGGCCAAAGGTAGAAGCAAGAAAACCTTTAGAAGGCTAATAACAATAATTCATTTATGGGTGGCTTGGATTAGTATAGTAACAATGGGAGTGGGGAGAAGTGGTTGGACTTCGGATATATTTTGGAAGTAAAGCTTCAGAATTTGTTAATGGATTAGGTATGGTATGAGAAAGAAGAGTCAGGGATGGCTTCAGTGTTACTGACTTGAGCAACTGGAAGGATGGACTTGTGTTTATTGAAATGGAGAAAACTATAGGGCTCGTTGTTGTTGTTGTTATGTGCCGTTGAGTTGGCTTCGACTCATAGTGACCCCTCCTTGGGTTTCCGAGGTGGTATCACTACGGAAGTAGATTGCCCAACCTTCCTTCCAAGGAGTGGCTGGGGGGTTTGAACCACCACCAGCCTTCTGGTTAGCAGTCAGATGCCTTAGGCAGTACGCTACATAGGGCTAGTAGGTTTGGGGAAATCCAGATTGGTTTTATATTTGTAAGGTTTGAAGTGCCAATTAAAAGCCAGTTGCTTTAAAATTGTAAGTTGTATTTACACCCAGTTGTATTTTCTGTTTTGTAGCAAGGGCAACCAGTTGGGGGGGGGAGATTTATATTTTGTTACAGTTAATAAGCCTTCTCAAAAGAGTGAGGAATCTTGTTAACTTTAGCCAGTCTACTTGTTGGCTGTTTTTCTAGGCTCCTTTCCCTGATGTAAAGGAACTCTTGTAGCACAGTGAGTAAGGCATGTTACTGCTAACCAAAAGGTTGATGGTTCAGATCCACCAGCCACTCTGCAGAAGCAAGACTGGGCAACCTACTTCTGTAAAGATTTTCTGCCTTTCAAACACAATGGGAGTCTCTGTGAGTCGGGTTAGACTGGATGGCAGTGGGTTTTTTTTTTTGTTTTTTTCCCTGATGTAAGGAGGAGCTCTGGTAGCACAGTGCCTAAGGCATCTGACTGCTAACCAGAAAGTTGGTGGTTCAAATCCACTAGCCACTCTGCAGAAGCAAGACTGGGCAATTTACTTCCATAAAGGTTTACCACTTTGGAAACCCAGTGGGGTCGCTGTGAGTTGGAATCGACTCGATGGCAGTGTTTTGGTTTTTTTGGTTTTCCCTGATACATGGCTGCTTGTTCATGAATTTCACTCATTGTCACTCTTCACCAAAATAAAAGCTGGGAGGTAACCTCAAGCAAGTTTACTTAAAATTTTATTTTTTCCTTACCACTTTTTTTTTTTTAAAGGAAAAAAGGTAGAAGGTGAAAAAAATTAAATATTACTCTGTATATTAATTCATGCAATATCATTCCCTGACGATATATGTCTATTTGGGTTTAACCCATTTTCTAGGTATCTAGTTGCTGTGCTGTTGCTGTGTTTGGCACCAATTTAAAAATACTTTTTGTCTCATGACTGACAACATTTTACCCCAATGCAACAGCTCCCCTCACACTTCTTCCCGATAGTTACCTCTTCCCTGTGTCCATCCCTCCATGCACTCCTGCCCCCTGAGCTGTCTCCCTATGCATAAGCAGCCCTTCTTTCTCCCATGATTGTTCTCTCCAAGGAGAGTATCTGTCTCAGGTACATGTTCAATTCATATGCCTGTGTAAAAAGCTGGTTTTAACTGATACTGAAAAATTTGATCCTTGCTTTCCTGTGGCCCATTTCTAAGACATGTTCCAACATGTTGTTGAGGTTTTTCCTTGACGCTGTTGGAATTTTTATTATCTTGGTAATTCCCCCAGCCTTGCACCTGTCTTCCAGGCGGTTAAGCACAGTCCCAGAGAGGAGGAGATACTGAAGAACTATCTTGTCTCCTTTGGGAGATAATGATTGTAAATTTGACTTTCAGCTAAACTAATTTACACATTCATATCAAAGTGGAGGTTGGAGCATGCCCAGGCCTATTTCTGTTTCCAGCTTCACCTGAGGGAAGCATAGATGAGTTACTTTTAATTCAGTGCTTCAGTTTTTGGCAGCTCCGAATTAGAGCGTGATCCAGAAGGCGTTAAGAATCTCATCAAGGGTATGTTGCATTTGCTTAAGGAGCTCTGTTATATGTGTCATTTTTACTTCTGCTGGCTGCTTGTTTGTAAATGCTAAAGAGAATTTTCTGCTTTAGAATATAATTTATGAATTCTTTTCCTTGTAGTTTTATCAACAGACTGCCATTTCGTCACCGCCAAAATGACATCGCTTTCCACCTCTGCCCAGTGTTCAACATCTGACAGTGCTTGTAGGATCTCTCCAGAACAAATTACTCAGGTAAATTATTTTTAGGCATTCCTATTTTTCTTAAAAATTTCTAAAAATTGAATTGAGGCATGTAGCTAACTTTACAGACTGTATGTAGGATTTTATACAGAGCAGAAATGGTTATTTTTTAAAATGCCATATTATAGAAAGATAAGCAGTATCATTGTTCGTAAATTTGAATTGATCATTGACTAAATAAAATTTTGGAGATTATAGATTGCCTAAAAGTATACATCTTGAAAACTAATGTGCTTTTGAGTGGGAAAGGCTAGTGGAGAATTTGGGGCTAGGTTAAATAAGTTTGTTTTCTGTCTTCTTGGTGGTGGTGTAATCAGTTTGTTTTCTTTATATAACAAATGTATTATTATAAAAAATTCAAGCTTTATAATGTATCGATCTTTAAAATATTATCTATAAAGATTCCTTTAACCATCTCTTCCCTTTCCTCCCTCAAAGTCTTTCCATATATTTCCTCTAACATTTGTGTGTATATATATACTTATAAAAATATGTAATTTTATTTTGTGTATTTTGTAAACATTTCACAATATGTAGGATTCTATATCTTAATGGATGATAAAGGTGGAATTTGGATTTGGACAGAAAAAGTGGCTTATAATGAATAGTTTTGACATAACTGGCCACTCCATACCTCTCAAACTTTGTACAAAAACAAACTCCAGATAAATTAAACACTGACCAGCCAAAATACCTTAAATCTGGCCCTTATACTTGTCAATACATTACCTTTAATGAATTCCTTCTGCTCCCTATGTATGGCTTCCTTTTAGCATTTATTTTAGGGCAGGCCAAAAAAAAAAACCCAGTTGCCGTAGAGTTGATTCTGATTCATAGTGATCCCCATGTGTGTCAGAGTAGAACTGTGCTTCATTGAATGTTAGTAGCTGATTTTTTTCAAAGTAGATCACCAGGCTTTCTTTGGGTGTTCCTCTGGGTGAACTTGAGCCTCCTCTTACCGTTTGGTTAGCAGCTGAGCACGTAATCATTTTCACCATTGTGGGCCAGGGCAGGTCTAGTGGTAATGAGTTCTGTCCGCTTTTAGTTATTTGGGAATGTCTTAATTTTGACCTTATTCTTGAAGGACAGTTTTGCCAGATCTAGTATTCTTGGTTAATAGTTTCTTTTCTCCCTAGCACTTTAAATATGTTATCCCACTGCCTCTCTGCCTCCATGGTTTCTAAAAACATAAAGATTTAAATATATAAAATGAAGTTATTAAAAAATAGTAAAAGAAAATTTAGAAATTATTTGTAAAACCTTAGAATGACAGAGGCCTTACACGTGATAAAACCAGAGTGGTTGTAAGAGGAGAGAGGTGAATATGACTATTATTATTTTTAATTATGTGGCTAAACAGAACATTGTTGAATTTTAATTTGTTCTATAAAAATATAGTTTTTTATTTTTATTTTATTTCAGGTAAATATTTTAGGTAAAAGAAGTTAGGTATTAAAAGGCAAGTGACATTAGTCCCTGTGTTACTTAGGAACTGAATTAACTGAATTCATAAATATATGATACATTTAAGATAGGTAGAATATTCATGTGTAGCAATTGCAAGATATGCCCATTCCAAGAATAATATCAGTCAAAGCACACATTGTCTTATTCTAGGCTACTCTACCCAAAAGACACATGTCTAGTGCTGTTCAAACAGTTTGAAAGCACTGAAAAGAAATTTAAGATACATGCCCTAGAAGAACTTTTTGGTTTAGGGGCTCTCTGGAAAAGAACTTTGGCATAGTTTTCCATTTTGAGATATATCCTAAATGAATTTGGGTTGACGATCCTGATTTTTTTCCCCAAAGCATTCTGGTTTTTATTTTCCCCTCCAGATTAGAATGATTTAATGAATTTCCAGATACCCAACTGCTCAATGTTTTTATTGATTTCATTGATTTAGTGAGATTACATAGGAAATGGGCAGTTTCTGCCATGAGGGAGAAAAAATTTGACTAGTATTAGAAAAATAATCTTACAATACAATATATCTCTTTGGAGACTAATATGTGCAAAATACTTCTATGTTAGAACATGAGAAACAATACATTAATAGTTGTTTTTGTGAATCCAGGAGACAGCCTAAATTAAAGAAGAAATTTTCTCTTAATTAAATATCTATATCTGATAATACCACTGGTTCTTTTTAGGGAGGGAAGATGATTAATAAAGTATACTTGAAGTAATTGTTCCACAACAGTAACTAATAGTAACCAAAACACTTACATGGTGCTTACTGTGTGTCAGGCCTTGTTCTTCACAATTTGCATATGTAAACTCATTTATTCCTGAGAGGAGGAAATTGAAGTAGGTTATTCACCCATAGTCACACAGCTTGTAAGTGGTGAGGCCAAGATTCACTCCTGGGTAGTCTGGCTTTAAACTCCGCTATCATTTGAAAATGTGATATTCTAGGAAGATAACAAGTTGTTATTTTATGCATTGGATGATTGTATGTATTAGGTGACAAGCAATCTACTCTAGGGTTTGTTTAAAAAAAAAAAAAGATTTGAGGAAGTTCTCTTGTGCTGTAGGGTTATAGAGGCAAATCTAACTGAAATGTAAATAGAAGATTTATTTTGTGTTTGTATCAGGTACGACCAAAACTGCCACTTTTGAAGATTTTGCAGGCAGCAGGTGCACAAGGTGAAACATTCACTGTTAAAGAGGTAAGTCAGCAGAGAAAATTATCAAGGGAATCAGTTGAGCTAAATGTTTTAAGAACATCTGAGAAGTAGCAGTAATGTCATTTTATATTTCAGTTGCTGATGGTACCATGAATCCTCTGTATGTGGTTTCTTTTATGTATTCTAGCTTTTTTTATGTTTAGGTCTAAGAAAGGAAGTTCTGCTCCTGAGGTACTGGAAGATCAACTTTTGTTCTGTTTTAGAAAGAGTATCGAGTTCAAGTTGACTTCATATTTCCTTTTTTTTAAAATTCAATTTTGTTGTTTTTAAGAATATACACAGCAAAACATACCAATTCAACTGTTCTCACCCTCCTTTTTTAAAAAAAAAAAAAAGAAAGAAAGAAAAAGAAAAACCTGTTGTGCTTTGGGTCAATGTTTACAGAGCAGATTGGTTTTCCGTTCAGCAATTCATACATATTTTGATTCATGACATTGATTGTAATCCCCTAATGTAACAACACTTTTCCTGCTTCCTGTTTACCATTTCCCTTTGTCCTTCTTTGCTGTCCCTTCTGGCCTTCTGAACTTTCTCCTTGGGCAGATGCTGCCCTTTTGTTGATCTAAGGAGTGCATACCTCCCTGGTGTTGTTGATCACCTTAGAGATCTGTCTGTTGCTCAACTGAACTTTGAGCCATGGGGGTGAGTTCAGTTCTAGGCTTCAAGGGTGTCTAAGGGCCTTAGTCTTGGGGGTTCCACCAGTCTCTATCAGAGCCTGGTCTCGTTTATGATTTTGAGTTTTGTTTCACATTTTTTCCCAACTCTATCCAGGATGTACTATTGTGGTCCCGTTCAGAGTGGTTAGGAGTAGTAGCTGGGTACCATCTAATTCTTCTGGTCTCAGGATCATGGAGGTTGAGGTTCACGTGGTCTGTTAGTTTTCTCTTCTTTTCTGAGTTGTTCCTCTCCATTAATGTACACTTAACTGCCCCCTAAGTTTCCTATCCAGTCTTTTGAATTGCTATTGTCAATTTAATCCCATATAAATAGACTTAAAAGAGCTCAAGACAGACATTTTTTTTTCTTTTTATTGTGATTTGGGTAAAAGTTTACAGAGCAAATTCACTTTCCATACAGCAGCTCATACACACGTTGTCTCATGACATTGACTACAATTTACCCCAATGCAATAGCTTCCCTCCCACTTCCTCCCGATAGTTACCTCTTCCCTCTGTCCATCCCTCCTTGCACTCCTGAACCCTGAGCTGTCTCCCTGTGTATAAACAGCCCTTCTTTCTCCCATGATTGTTCTCTCCAAGGAGTGTATCTACCTCAGGTAAATGTTCAACTCATATGCCTGTCTTTTGTT